CAAATTTTTCCCGCGTTTGGCTGCCTTCGACTCATCTAGGTGAGAAAAAGTGAAACGTTTCAATCTTCACATAGAATATGGAAGAAACCAATAACGCTATTATAGATCAGATTGACGCAAACTCTTTAGTACATGTTCTGTCCTTTCTGAGTATCAAAGACAAGCAGAACTCTGCCCAAGTTTGTAAATACTGGAAGGACTTAGCCAGTCTCCCATGTTTGTGGAAGAGCGTTACTGTTGTTGTACCTCACTCCCCCAGTTATTGGTTCATTGCCAGCATGCGGAGGCGTAAAATAACGCGTTTTGTATGCCGTGGCTCCACGCTAGATGAGTTGGAATTAGTGATCAACAACATACCAGACATCACAAGTCTCAAAATTGATCAAAGTCGCCACATCAACGAAGAATTTCTGAGAAGAAACGTGATCCATCTAGACAAACTGGCACATCTGAACATTACTAACTGTAGTCAGGTTGACCTTCAGTCCCTTTACTATGAGGAGTCTTTGGGAAAAGTGTTAGGTCGTTTGAAAAGTTTAACACTTCCCAAGAACATCAACGCCGCAAGTTTTCAAGCCCTTATAAAGAAATGCCCATGTCTAGAGGAGCTGGAATTTGATAAGGACTATGGGTTCAGTGGTAATGATCAGTGCCAAAAAGTCTTAGTGCAGTCATGCCCAAATCTTCGTTTTTTAGATTTAGGGTATTCTATGTGGTTTAGCGAAGAAAGCTGGAAGTTAACCTTAGAAGCACTCAATCTCAAAGCTATCAAGGTTAACAGCTGCAATGATATTGATACAGATCACATAAAGATGATTGCTGATTTGTGCCCAAATCTTGAATCCTTGGATATGTCTTCCCATTCCATGTATTCAAATGATATTGTCAATTATGTTGCCAAAAAACTGAAACATTTGAAGCATTTTTCCTTTTCTACTGCGTGTTTGTTTGTTTCTGAGTTTGAATCAGGTACTGGGGAGAGTAAATACAAAGGAGAACATGATGTATTGCATGAGGTTTCTGAAATGACAAAGCTTGAATCCTTGAATATTCGTCTGAATGCTGGGATGGTTACTGGAGAAACCCTTTGTTCCCTTGTTGAGAATATGTCAAAGTTAAGGACACTTAACATTCGTCGACTTGGAAAAGTAAGCGCCATTCATGCAAGACTTATTGGCAAACATTTACCAGAACTAAATTCACTGAAAGTAGTCATTAGCTGGGACTGTGGGCCAGGCTCAAGTGGTATTGGACTTCTTTGTGCTAAACTACCTAATCTAACTGACTTACATATCATCAGTTCTAAACTAAGCAATGAAGATCTTAATGAAATGTCATCAGGTGTGGTACCAAGCAAGCTAAAATCTCTGAAGATCGATTGCAGCAGATATGTTACAGACCTTGGAATCAGCTATGTTTCTAATGGGCTCACATCCCTAACCAATCTGGACATTTCATCATGTAATATTGGTGACCCTGGTATATCTTCAATCTCTGAGCACCTGTTACATCTTGAAGTGTTAATTCTAAATGAAAACAAGAGGGTTTCAAATCATGGTAAGTATTTTTAATATAATCATATAAAACATTTAGTAAGAAATTGCTTCTTGTACTTATCTTGGAAAAGCCAACACTTAAAGTTCTTAAGTTATGGAATGGGAAAATATTTTGTTGCATTCGATATTAGTCTGTGAACATTGTGCATGTGGAAAGCTATTTTCCCAGTGTCCAGATTAAGATGCAGCCAATTAGGGAATTAGCTTTTGTTTGATTATAATTTTGCTCAGTTTTCCCCTTTCATGTTGGTACTTGCCAACAAAACTTGCATGTCTGTACATGGTACATGTGAGAAGGCCAGAAAAATTGTACTTAATCTTAGATTAACATAATTCCTATTGATTTCTATTGTAATTAATTTTTTTCATAAGCTCTTTCTTTTTCATTTTGTTTTTTCCATATTCTAAAGTAGTAGTAAATTATTTACTCTACAGGTGCATTGACGATTGGAAAACATCTTAAGTGTCTAGAAGACTTGAGAATCAATGGTACAGGTATTGGGGACCAAGGCTTTGCTTTCATATGTAACCACCTTCCTAGACTCCACACTCTTGAAGCACTCTGCCCACTTATAACTGATGTAGGGTATTTAGAAGGTATAGTTAGTCTAAGTTCTGTAAAGATTTTACAAATTGGGTCTCACGGCATCAGTAATAATGCAGTTCAAGAATCGTTGCCACATTTGAGAAATCTTACTCAATTCACCAGCAGGAAAATTCCTTTGACACATAGTTGCATTCAGAGTATGATTAGAGTGTGTCCTTGGCTATCAAGCTTATTTATTAATTACTGCTTTCACTCAAGCGATGATCAGTGGCAGGAGACAATAGATTTATGCAAAGGGATAGGGCTATACCTTGAGTTAGGTTTTAGTTCGTGCCTTGAAGTAGGCAAGTAGAAATATGTTTGAAACTCCAGTTCAAATACCTCTATGTTTTGAGTTACATATCCTGGCATCTACCTTGTTAGCAGTGACTTTTATGCATGTAACTAGGTGAGTGGTATGTCTATAAACAGCATTTTTAAAAATACTTTTTTACTTCATTAGTTCACACGGCTATGTGCTCAGTTATCATGTAGTTACACTGAATATTTCACTACTACATGTATTTTTACTCAATGGTCTCTTGTATCATCCTGTTTATATTAACAATTGTTTATCAGTCAAGTTATCTTGACACTTGTTCGAGTTTGCTGTACAAATGCATAATTTTAATACCTAAGTTCCTGTGTGCAACTATGCTTAATCATGAGACTGTATTACTGAGACACAATTAACAGGTGTCTATTATATAATAGTTTATTTATGATAAACTGGTATAGTGTACTTGTTGCCTGTTTGAGATTTAAGATGTTGATGATTTGTAGAACTCTATCACTTTATTAAAGATCGACAAAATTTGGCTACCACATTGGAATTGTTCCACAGCTTCATTCAGTAGTGATTCTGTGATTTTTGTGAAAGTATGTAAAAGCAGAAAGATAAAGGAAAATTTTCTAATGCTAGACTTCTGACAGAGTAAAACTGCTCTAAAGCTATAGCAACAAAACTGCCCCCACGATCATTACATGTACATTTTTGACGTCACATTACTTGAGCATAGTTGCACCATATTTTCAGTATTTAGCTAGAGCTTATGATTGCTACTGTTTAAGGATGCTGAGTGTGACCTCCTGGGTTTTTACATTACATTCCTCTCTAGACACAGTTATAGCAACACCAAAATTCAATCTTTTTTAGCAAAATACTATATGTTTGATATGTTGCAGTTACTATATATAACAATTCTTATGTTCTGTCTTTATTTTGGTAGTGATTTACTTAATGTGATCAGAAATAGCTTCTAATGGATCCATGCATAACTTGTTCCATACATGTATGCAAAGGTGTCTCAGAAACTTTTGTTAACTCATCATATAAAAGGTTACTAGATTTTATTACATCATTGATGATGTCACATTACTATTTTCAGTAAAGCTAAAGTTAATATGAACTGAAACTATTTAAGGCTGTCAAGTGCAAGTCACTGGGTTGCTCACATCCCTATTGGTCCCAGGGCTATAGTGACACCCAAATTACTACATATTGTCATATGTTGTTGTTACTAAGAATTGTGTTTATATTGTGAGCTATAGTGATTTATCCATTGTGGTAATTAAAAGCTAAATATAGGCTGTAGTTGTCCAAGTATTTTATTTGTTCTTTATGAATTCAGGGTGCCTCAGTTTTAATTTTAAGTTTAACAATTTTAAAAAATTTAAAAAACTGCATGATTACCTGGGAAACGTTTTCAGAAATAGCTGTGTATTGATCATGTAGAGTTTTGAAAAGCACTAACAAATATGTTCGCGGCAACATAGTTATAAATTACTCAGAAGTCATTCCAGTAGTTGACTTACTTTCATGCCATACTGTATTCACCTTTTATGAAAAACGACCAGAAGACTGGGAATGAGCACATTAAACAGTCCATGTTTTTTTAATCTATTTTAACAATAAGAAAGAGTATATTTAAACTAGAGGTTAGACGTAATTCAAATCAATTTCAAATGGCAAAAAATTGGCAGAGCTACGAGGACTTGAAGCGCACCAAAAACATGAAAACGACGCTGATAAGGCCTGCTGATTTTCACTCGAACCTTTGCAATTTCAAACATCTATAATTTGTGGTCCATAAATGTAAGAGCATTGATACTTTCAGATCTTACCCATTATAATATGTTCTTTGAACGGGTAGCAATGATATATCAAACAACTTGTATACTAAGGCGTTACGATAGCCACGCCCTTTTTCATATGGTCTATGACATTGCAGGTTTACATGAACTAGAAAAAATGGATGCAATTCCTCCAAATTTGACTTTTTGTCAATCTTACCCAGGCAAACAAACCCATCCTGACATTCACTTACCAAGTCAATCACATCACATGACACATATGCCATGTCAGTCAAAACTGGTCAAAAGTATGTGACAGTAAAATATATCGTGAGTTTGGCTCATTGTCAATACAATCTGGACAAAGAAACTCATCCAACATTGTGGATGTGTACAGTTACTCATGTATTGTAATTGTACATAGCA